AACCAAGTGTTGTTGGACGTGCCAACACTTCCCTGACTATCAAAAATATCACCAGGGATGATCAAGGGACCTACAAATGTTCAGCAGTTAATGTAGCTGGTACAGTGGTATCTAGTCCTAGTGCAGGTTACCTAGAAGTTATTTGTAAGTGTCATTTCGTACAAGAAGTTCATTGACATGTATTGAATATGCCAATAGGGAAAAGGGGCGACGAATTCTTTCTGAACTTTGTTACCTACAAGGTGCTAAACGTATTTTTTGCCTTTTTTATTTGCCTCTTGCTCTCGGATTACACTTCATCACCCTAGGTGGATTGGAAGAAGAAAGAGAAAGACAGAACGAACGATAAATGAATGAATGACAATATGTGGCATTTTTTAAGAAACAAAAAAGGCAAAAAAAAAGGTGGAAAATGATCCTTATCACAAGGAATCCAGGTATTTTTTTAATTTGCGGTCTATAATTCTCATGTAGCTTTCCTTTTTTCATTTTCTAGATGGTGCTAGAGTGTTGCTTTCACCAAAAAGTCGTATCATTATGGAGCATTCCCGTATTACGTTGTATTGCTATGTGGAAGGAGAACCAATATCTCAAGTGACGTGGCTTTGGGATGGAAAAACACTCGCTAACATGTCTGGCAAATATGTGATAACACAGCCTTCGCTAATAACCAACTCAAGCTCATCTTTGACTGTCATCAATGCGAAACGCACGGATAAAGGACAATATTACTGTAATGCTACAAATAATCAGGGAAGCGATGAATCTAAAAAAGCAGTATTAACAATTCACTGTAAGTTTGTCTATGAAATCACATCCAGCACTGACTGGCGTGCACATTATTTAAGCATCAAAATCGCGATTTCGCGCGAACGTTTTCTTTGGTAAAAAAGAAAGAACTTGAGCCACCTCCCATTTTAAGTTCTATTGGGGCCGGTTGTACGAAGGTGAATAGCGCGATCCACTGGAAAAAAAACAGGGGTGTAAATTTGATGTAAAGAAATGATGTAAGTAATTTTACTTACATAATATTTACATCACATTTACACACTTCTTACATTCATTGTAAATTTGATTTATATCACATTTACACACTTTTTACAAACGACAAACTAAATTTAATGGAAATTTACATGGATATTTCCATAATATTTAACACTTACAGGACATTTACAACCTTTGTAAGTAGTGTTTAAAAAACGAGCAGAGTGCTCTATCGGGAGATAAATACACGAGGCCGAAGGCCGAGTGTCTATATCTGCGATAAAGCACGGCTGCGAGTTTTCTATACTATTTCTAGAACTCCAACATCGAGAAATTGTTTTCATCATTAGGAAAAACCTAAAAAAATCGAAAACAGTGATAATGTATATTGAACTTCTAATGAGCATGTGAATGTGCCACATGGAAGAACGGCTCATTCTATGCTTAACTAAATGTCTGCACGTTGATTCAAACTGATTTAAAACCTAGCAAAGTTCTATGATGCGACATTAAAACTGAGACTTTTGCTAAAGTTGGTTTGCGATAAAGCGCTGATGACCTAATATCGGTTCTTTATATGTGATATAGAACTGATTAATAAAACATCAGTTCTATATGTATCTGATATAGAACTGATTAATAATGGATCAGTTCGTTATGTAATGTTTAAAGTCCGACAATGAGGACTGGACGGGATTTCAAGTCCGCGCAATTAGTTCCAGTCCGATGCTTTAGCCATTTTGCTCTTTGTATAGATGCTGCTAAGATCCTCACCAATCCAAGTAATGAAATAAGAAATGAAGGACAGAGCGTAACATTGTGGTGTGTGTACGAGGGAAATCCACAACCAACACTAACCTGGACAAAAGATGGAACAACAGTGTCAAGTAATAATAAAAACAAAATAAGTACCACCTCCAAAGGTGAGGGGCAATACAACTCTACTTTGTCCATCAGCGATCTCAAAAGGGATGATCAAGGGACATACACATGCAGAGTAAACAACACATATGCCACAAATGAGTCATCTTCCCGTTTAACAGTTAACTGTAAGTATATTTAAGAATCATTTATCATTTTCCGTTTGACCTTGAAATCTCATTTGAGAGAGAGGTTGAAATTGGAAATTTTGACTTTGCAATTTGTTAATTCAGTTAAGGCCGTGTCACACTGGCGTTTTTTTCGTGCAACTTGTGTCGCGCAAAAAAATGTTCAAGTTGCACGATGCCATGTCACACTAGCAAAATTCCGTTGCAACTTAGCTCGCGCAAAAAAATGTTCAAGTTGCACGAGTAAATTGAAAATGTACGATCACCTCACTTTCTGTCTCGTTTTCTGCTTCATAATTATCGCTTTCGCCAAAGATGGCGTCGGGCATCTTTGTTGATTATTACAACAAGTGGCAACAGGACAGATTCTCGCTTTCTTATGGGTTCGTGTGCGTAATTGAAAATTTTGGATTGCAAGAGACCATGTCACACACGCGTTTTTTCGAAAAATGTTGAAAAAAGTAGAAGYCAGTTCTACTTTTCTCTCAACAAAAAAATGAAAAATTCCAGTTGCATGAAGGGGTGTCACACGTAAAAAAACGCTCGTGCAACTTCAACATTTTTTTTGCGCAACACAGGTTGCACGAAAAAAAAGCCAGTGTGACACGGCCTTTATTGTGTATTGGTGTGCACTTAAATTTTAATTAACCACCAGTATCCTTTTCGAGCTTTTTCTCATCTTGAAAAAATACAAATATATGGTAATATAAGCAAAGACTTTATTTTATTATCCCTTTATATATGAATGGAGATACTGTAAGATTCGACCTTTAAACCGATGGATGGAAACGGATTGCGAATGGATATTCGAAGTCACCTCATTTTCTTTATAAAAAAATATCTAAAAGACGATCGCATTGAATGCTGGTGGGCTATGTCCCTTTAAATCTTAATTCGACGAGACTGAAGAACTTTGGAAACATCCTATTTCTCTCGTTGCAAGTTATAGTCTGTTTTTCGCTACTTTTTTTCTGAGAACGATGCTTCTTTCCAATTCTTAACAAGCGATTACTATACATTTCGGAGGGTCGGATCCAGGATTTTTCCCAGGGGTCGACATCACACACATATATATTAAAATCTGGATCCGACACGAGGGTCACCGGGCCACGTATGTATGTTAAGGGATAATTCAAATGGGTGCCCATGCATCCGATGAACGTTCCCTGGAACCACCATTTCTTTTCAGATCCTGCCGAGAATGTAATTGTCGAGTTAGAAGGTTCGCAAGTCGTCCTTTTCAATGAACCATTCACATTGAAATGCATTGGTTATGGACGGCCTCTTCCCAACAGTTTCCCATGGTATAAAAACAAGCTTAGAATCGCTGGAGCTTCTGATAAAGAACTACGTGTTGATAAAGCAACGCTTGAAGATGGCGGGAATTATGTGTGTTATGCATATAATGGAATCGGCAACAGAACTAAAAGCTCCAATTCTATTTTAATCACTGTGAACAGTAAGTACACTTATCCTTATTCTTGCTTCCTAATTGTTCTCTTCTTGCATCCTTTTGATGGTAATAGGGATTGAGGGAGGTCTTGGTGCAGTTTTTTATTTGGTATTTGCTTATTGAAGACGTCTGGTCACCCACTGGAAAATAATTCTTTAGACACTGATTGGATTAAATATAAGGACATAACATTAATCGATGCACTGCTATATTGTGTAAAGGAATTTTTGTGTGTACTGTCTCATGCCACTACACTACTTTTGGTGCCCGAGTGTGGAGTATGATTGCATTATTTTTATTGTATTGTTGTTTAGAATTTCTTTGTACGCAAGCATAATTACTAAAAATAAATGAATCCTCTGCGTTTACTAGTGATATTTTTAATACATAGACATAAGCGTAAATGGAGGATTTTTGTACTTAACTTTAATTATTTGTTTGTGTTTTCGTACGTAGAAACTGAACCCATACCGACCGTTGACCCGCCTACAACCGAAACAACGATCACTATTGATGTCAGCAACAACGAATTCACCAAGCATGGAAAGAAAATATGGTAACTGTAATGTGTCATTGTATTTTGCGCGACTATTTTATTTTTCGCACCGATATGGGCGAATAATCTGTTTACATTTCGGTTCATTAACATATCATTAGCATAAGGATATAACGTTTTAACCTAACTATCAGTAAATCAGCACTGAATATTGAAACAACATAGCACAATAAGCTTTCCACGCAATTTTGAGCTTCTGATATGGAATACCAGTAGTTATAATAGGCCGATTCTGGCGCTTTTTTTAAATCCGCCCACACGGCTAGCCACTCGATTTTTTTAAATCCGCCCAAACGGCTAGCAGCCCGATTTTTGGTTAAAAAACGCGATTTTGGGTAAAAATTACCACTACTTGGGAGTTAATAATAGAGCGTCTATTTTAATAAAGGTTCGCTCTTGTGAATAAGTTTTATATCTATTATATATAATGAGTCGCGTGAATGACGAATTTCAGTTACTTATGGACAGTCTTACTAGTCTTAGCAGAGANTTGTATTTTGCGCGACTATTTTATTTTTCGCACCGATATGGGCGAATAATCTGTTTACATTTCGGTTCATTAACATATCATTAGCATAAGGATATAACGTTTTAACCTAACTATCAGTAAATCAGCACTGAATATTGAAACAACATAGCACAATAAGCTTTCCACGCAATTTTGAGCTTCTGATATGGAATACCAGTAGTTATAATAGGCCGATTCTGGCGCTTTTTTTAAATCCGCCCACACGGCTAGCCACTCGATTTTTTTAAATCCGCCCAAACGGCTAGCAGCCCGATTTTTGGTTAAAAAACGCGATTTTGGGTAAAAATTACCACTACTTGGGAGTTAATAATAGAGCGTCTATTTTAATAAAGGTTCGCTCTTGTGAATAAGTTTTATATCTATTATATATAATGAGTCGCGTGAATGACGAATTTCAGTTACTTATGGACAGTCTTACTAGTCTTAGCAGAGATGATTTTACCGATATTTCTGCTAGAATTTCCGGAATTCAAAAGAAGGCGACGGCTATGCGAGGCTTTCTGAATACTTATGAAATAGAAGGTGGAAGAATAGATCCGAATATATTTCTAGAAAGGAATAAGTCGAAGATTGTTAATCTAATAAATAGAAAAGAAAAGCCGATTAAATCCAATATAGTTCTAACTTGCGAATTCTATAAAAGAAATCCAGAAGGAACTGTTTATTCAAATGGAACTTTCAGATCTAAAATAGAAATAATAACGGATTCGACTAACATTTCCGATATTTATGATAAATGGACAGAAGATATATTAGAAAGTTTTAGTAATTATCAAAATGCAGGATCYGGRTGGATATTTAGAAAAATAATAAGTCTCGAAATTAACATCGATACATTCGCTCCGATATCGGGAAGTTCTTATTTACCTCTTCCAAAAGAGTTAATTCCAAAAAAGGCAATAATTAATATGAAAAACAAGGATAATGAATGTTTCAAATGGGCTGTAACCCGCGCTTTAYATCCATCAAAACGGGATTTGGAGAAAGTTAGTAGCAAATTAAAGGAAGATTCAAAAAATATTAATTGGAACGGATTATCATTTCCAGTAGAAATAGAAGATATTTCAACATTCGAGGATAATAATCCATACGGYGTCAATGTATTTGGATACAACGGCGAGGTCTATCCGCTTAGAATAACTAATAGTGAAAATAGAATAATTAATTTAATGATTATTTCTGAAGGTGGTAAAAACCATTATTGTTGGATAAAAAATATGTCCCGACTCGTAAGCAGGCAGGTTGATAATCACCAACATTATAGATTCATTTGTGATAGATGTCTAAATTCATTTAAGTCTCAAGAATCTTTAGATAAACATTCAGAGTATTGCAGAAATTCAGATGCCATTAAAATGAGTCTTCCTAAAAAGGGTGCAACTCTTAAATTTAAAAATTACAATCACTCAATGAGAGTTCCATTTGTAATATACGCCGACTTTGAATGTTTTACAAAAAGATTAGCGTCATGCCAGCCAGATCCAAATAATTCATATACCGAAAAATTTCAATATCACAAACCATCAGGATTCTGTTATTATCTTAAAACAGTCAATGACATTTACGAGCCAAAAATGATTTCATATACTTGTAAAAAAGATGAAGATGTCGGGCAAAAATTCGTAAATTCAATCGAAAAAACAGTTAAGAAACTATATTCCAATATTTGGTATAAAAAGGTCAAAATGACCRCYKCGGATAAAGAAAATTATAAAAATTCAAAATATTGCCATATTTGCGAAGGTGAGCTAAAAGAAGATAAAGTTTTAGATCACTGCCACTTAACAGGAAAGTATAGAGGTGCAGCTCATAATTCTTGTAATTTAAATTATAGAATTCCAAAACATATTCCGGTTATATTCCATAATCTCGCCGGTTATGACGCCCATTTATTCATTAAAAATCTAGGCGTATCTGATGGACCGATAAACTGCATTCCAAATAATGAAGAGAAATATATTTCATTCAATAAATTAATAAAAATAGGTGAATTCGAAAAAGATGGTAAAACCTTTGAAATTAAAAGAGAAATCAGATTCATCGACTCTTTCAAATTCATGGCGGCCGGGTTGGACAGGTTGGTGGGAAATCTAAAAAATGAGAATTTCAAAAATATGAAGTGGATGTTTGATGATATTGAATTATTAGTAAGAAAAGGTGTATTCCCATATGATTATTTTGATTCAGAAGATAAGTNTAAATTAGATCCCGTCTGGTATTATACTGCGCCCGGGCTTGCCTGGGATGCTTTGTTGAAATTAACAAAAATAGAATTAGAATTGTTATCAGATCCCGATATGGTTTTAATGATCGAAAAAGGAATTCGAGGCGGAGTTAGTATGATTACGAAAAGATATTCAAAGGCTAATAACAAATATATGAAAGATTACAATCCAGAAAAAGAATCGGTTTATTTAAAATATTTAGATGCAAATAATTTATATGGCTGGGCAATGAGCAAGCCGCTGCCGGTTAGTAAATTCAAGTGGATGAATAAACATGAAATTAAATATTGGCAAAGACATCCATGTATTCTAGAAGTGGATTTAGAATATCCGAAAGAACTTCATGAACTTCATAATGAATATCCTATGGCGCCAGAAGATTTATTAGGAAAATTAATACCAAACTTGAATAATAAGGAGAAATATGTAGTTCATCACCATATTCTGAAATTATATTTATCTCTAGGGATGAAAATTACAAAAATTCATAGGGGTATTACTTTTATAGAAGAAAAGTGGATGGCCGAATATATTAAATTAAATACMGATTTACGAACTAAAGCGGATAACGATTTTGAAAAAGATTTCTTTAAACTAATGAATAACAGTGTCTTTGGTAAGACGATGGAAAACATTAGAAACCGCCAAGATATTAGGCTTGCAACTCGAAAAGATCAATTAAAGAAATTAACTTCGAAGCCTAATTTTAAAAGAAGAACAATATTYTSTGAGAATTTAATAGCGGTTCATATGGGAAAAACCAATCTTAAATTTAATAAACCGATTTATGTTGGAATGTCCATTTTAGATATTTCTAAGTCGTTGATGTATGATTTTCATTATAATTATATCAAGCCGAAATATGGAAATAGAGCTCAATTATGTTTCACGGATACGGATAGCCTTCTATACGAAATAAAAACCGATGACTTTTATAAAGATATTTATCCAGATTTAGAATCAAAATTCGATACATCGGCTTATGGCAATCACCCCGTTATTGATAAAAAAATTAATAAAAAGGTTATCGGATTTATGAAAGATGAAAC